AGATCCTGGGCTGCTCAAAGCAGGCAGCACCTCCTCAAAGATGCTGCACTGGGGTCTGTGGAGCACTAGCCTGGCTTGCTGCTGGCAGTGAGTGCATGTGCACCTCTGGGTGGATGGCAGGGGAACCGAGTGACCTGATCCTTGTTGTGGCAGCCTCTTCCCCACCGTCCGCCCTGAGGTGCACCTGCCAACCAAAATTCCTTTGAGTGTCACGCTCTTGCATGTGTACTGGGGGTTGCTGACCCCTGGTCCAGGCCCTTCTCTTCATTATACCTACAAAGGTTTCTGGTATAGAAGGTAATGAAGTATACAGCACTGCACAGATTTCAGGTAGCACAGTAGCCTACAGAGCAATCCAGAAGGGCTGAAGTAATTCAAAGTGATTTCCAAGTCTGTCTATGTTATGTTGGGGTCCTCTCCAGCCCCAGATAGAGCTCAGGATTAGAGAGGCACAAAGATAGCTTAAAGTTACCATATGCCTATCCCTCCTTTCCTGGGCCATTACTTATGTGGTGAGCATCTTAGGCACAGCCAAAGACGGGGTGGGCAAAATGCGGCTCGTGGGCCACATCCAACCCACCAGGCCATTCTATCTGGCCAGTGTGGTCCCTAAAAATTGAGAAAATTAAGATTTATTTGCTCCTGCTTGCCTATCAAATATGACAGGGGCCAGGGGCAGTAGGACCCAGGGGAAGATGGCAGGAATCAGCAGCCAGGCCTGCCTGGCCCCATGCCATCCCCCCCCCCGCCCTCCTAGAAGCCTCTGCCTAGCAGAGTCTTCTGGCCTGAGACCCTTGGGCTGTTCCTGCCTCCCCGCACTGAAGGGAAATTCAAGTAAGAGTGGTGGGGGAGGGAATACAGGAGGGCTGTGGGGATCGCCCTGGTTTTTGGGGCTGGTCTGGGCTGGCTCCTGCTGAGTCCTGCGGTCTGTCCATGCAACTAGGAGCCATGTGGTGCAGGAACAGCTGGCAGGCAGGCCGGGAAGTGGTGAAAGCAACCACAAGCAGGGGAGGGGATGGGGGAGTGGCAATGAGCAGGTGTGCAGAGCGCAATGACAACTGGGCGGGAACACTGGGCCTACACTGGTGTCCCAGGGCCAGCACCGGTAGGGCCCAGAGTGGGGTGGCAG